GGAAAGAGAGAGGACCAGTGGGAGGAGAAAAGGCAGCACAGACGGCAGAGAGTAGAGTCAGTGCCCACAGAAGCAGCCTCAGGCTTCACCTGTAGTAACTGCAACAGACTCTGCCGCTCTCGTATTGGACTGTTTAGCCACAGCAGGCACTGCAATACCACAACAGACTGACCCGGGCGCAGATACTCCATTGTCTCTTGAGACAGAAGGATGCCGATTGATATATTCATAGCCTAGAATGCCCTACTTTGTTTGAATAAAATAGATAAAGTTACACTATTAGCTTTTTCTGTGTTCTGAGGAGTGGAATTTTTAAAATAAAATAATAGTGAAGTAAAAATAAAAGCAGTCAATACTGCATTTTGACAAACTAAATTCATTCTAACAAATTAAATATCAGATTTTAAAAACGTAATCATAAATTTCTTAAGATAAGAAATTTAAGTATATATATATGTACATGTATATATGGTTTGTGAAAACCATTAAAAAAATAGTGCAACTACCAGGCTGAAATTATCTACTGATGTGGATTGGAGTTTTTGGAAAATAAATAAAATAAAATATAAAGAATTAAAAATAAATGAGCAAATAAATTAATTACTGCTGTCAATCGATTAAAAAAAGAACTAATTAATAACACATTTTTTCTGAAACTAATCGTGATTAAGTTGAAGTATGCATCTGAAAAGTCTCCCATTTGATGTGGTCATAAAGATGTTCTGCGCCTAAATAAACGCAAAAATTCTAGCAAAGTCAATAACAGATTTTCAACATTTTTCAAAATTTGTCATAGATTTCTAAATATAAAGTTAATATAAAAACCATAAAGATATAGCACACATGAAAGCATTTCTATGTTCTGTGGAGTGGAGCTTTTGGGAAAAAAATGTAAAAAAAAAAAAAAATTGTAAAAGCAGTCAATGGCGAACATACTAATAATGGAAGTCAAACTTTAATAATATTTTTAGTATAAAGTATATAAATATAAATGATAAAATATAAAAATAATACTAAAAATACTAAAATATAAATTTTGTATAAATTATTTTAGTATAAAGTGAAAACCATAAAAAGTCGGCACACCTGACAGGCTGAAATGATCTACTAAACAAAACTACAGTGGCAGATTCTTGTATTCTCTTGATAATGCAAACTTCAGTATGTTTTCTGCTTGTTTGCCCTTGGTAGTGTGGGTATACAATTAAGGCAGAGATGCAGAGAAGAGCATTCACCTTGCGGCGAGCAGCTAGCTGACCAGGATGGGATGGCATCTCGTCTCTGATAGAAGAGGATATAAGCACCACGTGTGCACACTTCCCCCTCAGGCACCGGCTCAACACTGCTGTCATCGTAGGCATACCACTGACCGTCCACTGAGTTCCTGCAGTATGCTGCTCAAAACACAGACTCATTATCTTCACTATGCTCTATACTTCATGCTCAAGTATGTATAAGTATACTTACACTGGGGGCAATAATTATTTGGACAACACTATTATTTTCATTTATGGCACATAGAGCAAAATTTCATTTTATTATTATTTTTTTAATGGGTGTATGTATTTTACGTGTGTATGTTTTTATATTTTGTGAAAAGGCTGCACTGGGGTAAATGGATAAATTAAATTAAATTGAATTAAATGACATATTAAAAAATAATTAAATATAAAAAAAATTAATTAAATAATTAAAAACATATTATTTAATCATTAGCATTATTTTTGGCTTGCTTTCCATGAAAATATCTAAACAAGATAAATTTTACATAGCAAATTTGCATGAGATTAAATTGCATAAGCATGATTATAATGCTTAAAAACTAGAACAGAGGTAAGAAAAACAAACTACTCTCAGTCTTATGATGTTTTTTTTCATAGTGATATTAATAATTAAGAAAGAGGGTTTGCAGTGTAATTCTTTAGCACGTAATTCTCACATAAAATAGTTCGTATTTCGGCTTGTACTTTGAAGTATGAAGTTAATTCAGCTTCATCAAAGTTTCCTTTCCTGACGGCTGCTATATTTGGCAAATTCTAGCCGTTATATCCATCAGTTTGTGCAGAAACGAGGCTGGAATATTTTCCTCTTTCCTCCTGGGTGAACATCATGATCTGCCTTGTGTCGCTTGGCCACCTTTTTCCCCATCGCCTTTTAACTTTGTGCTTCGGTTGCCATTGGACAGAAGTGACCAAAGCATTGCCTTACACAATCTGATGCAAGCTTCTTGCTTGAAATAGCTGCTGCAGAACCCTGAGAAATATTTGGGGTCATTATTTAACTGAAATGTGAGTCCACTCTGGATCTAGAAGGGATGGCGAATTTCAGAAGGATTTTCAAGTGTTCTTTCCTCATAATTTATAATCCCATAAATCCGGCCGAGATCCCACCATGTGCAACACCCTCATCATAAAGGATGCATGAGATCTTTGGAGGGGCCCAAACTGATTTTTTTAAAGGATGCATTATATATCAGTACCATTTCAGATATCAGTGATATTAGTGGTATGAATTTTATAAATATCAGCTGATATGGGATATTTATTGTACGTGCTCATTTTTACATTTAGATAAATTTTGCAATCCTCTAATGCGCACTTAAATTTGATCTTTAAAAACATTAATAATTTAATAGTACTGTCAAACATAGTCTTTAGTATATCTCAAAATGAATATACATTTTTCATATTGTACATTTCATATTGTACATTATACATATGTATAATAATGTACATTATATAATGTACAATATTATCATATTGTACATTATTATACATATTGTACATATAGTAAATTATGAAAATTACATGGGCCGGAGTGACTACTAGTATTATTGTGGAGATTTTATTACGATTTTAAATGTATTTATCATGCCTCCTAAAGCTAGAATAGGCAGCATAGAATTCAATGAGACCGTTGGGCTTAAATGCGTCTTTCAGAACATCACACTTCTGTAACTCAGCCAACTCAAACTGATAAGAAGGCAGGGCTTCGTCAATGTCGACAGCAAAGGGTTTCTGGAAACAGCTGATTTTTTTAGCGTGGACACGCACGTCAAACTCTGCCTTCAGCATCTCCAGCGCTTCTACGGACCTTTCAGCTGGGAATGGGGCCACTGGTTTCTCAGCTGAGAGGCTTTGGGTAACAAGGAGATGGGTGAATTCTTGCTTTTGCACCTGTCCCACAAGCAGTGCTAGTTTCACCTCAAATGCTTTTATGTGAGAATACATGTCACATATTAGTTTTCCCTTGCCTTGCAAGTTGAGGCCGTCCAACATTTCTGTTCCGGGAGGTGATGTTAAGACCTCTTTTCTCTATTTCTCTATTCATGCGTCCTATCCACCTTTATTCCTAAACGCGGAAGTAAGCCCATGGGCGAGACTTTCGGTTCATTAGTCACTGTAGGGAAATAACGAGACGAATAACAGCATGCAGTAAACGTAAAAACTGTTTGCATTACAAACCAGTGTGTTCATAATTAAGATAATACTTTAAAATAATATGGTAAGACAGACCAATTTGCAATTTACACACCAATTTTGTACAGCTAAAAATAGCTGGAAGCGAATAAGACCCATAGAATTTACAAATGGTTGCGCCCATTTTTACGTGAAGAATAAGGTAAATAAGTCCCCTTGACGCGTCAACCATACTACGAGCCCTTCCAGTATTGACGCTGGCCAGCTTAGACTAGTCTAGACCCAACTACCCGGACAGACTCAATTCATTGAAGAAGTCTTTCTTATCGGGCTACACCTCCTCCGCAACAGCATTCATACTTTTCTTGATGAACTCACCGTCACTGAATGGCCTGATGACTGGTTCAAATGGGTTTGGCGTACAAATGTATTCTGCTGAGCTGATAGTACACTTTTTATCTTCGACACTTTGTCTGCTCTCATTTGGCCTTGCAAGCTAGCATACATGTCTCAGTGGCGGGTTTCATAGTGTCTGCGCAGATTGTATTCTTTGAACACTGATTCTTGACAGATGAGACAAACAGCCACTTCTTTGCACTGAACAAAAAAAATATCACTTGTCCACTTTTGGTTAAATACCCTGCATTCTGAAACAAGTGTTCTCTTTCCCAACCATTTGGCTATCTTGTTGTCTCTGAATTTTCTCGCTGGCTCGCGTGTCATCAATCGCGATGGTACGTTATGTTGAACGTACCATTTTGTTGGTAGGTGAATTTAACAAATAATTAGGCTACCTTAATAACTAAGGGAAATTTTATTTTGAAAGCCAACCTTTATTATCAAATACAATTATGATATAAGTAAAGCATACATTTAAAATTACATTTTCAAAATATGTGGGGGTGGGCTGCATTCGGCCTGCGGGCCATAGTTTGGGGACGCCTGGTATAGACAAATAATCATATGAAAATCATTACTGGCTATTTTGTATTTTAATATCAGTGCATCCCTAATTTTTATTGCTTAGATTTTGTTGTTGTTGTTGTTTTAGCTCTTGAGATTTATAAAGAGTTTATTTATCTTTCAGTAATTTATCATTTATCTTTCAGTTAAGTATAATTTTTTCTCATCTGTTTTTCCTAAAAGGCACAGATTGGATCATTGTTAACATATTTGTTTACATACATGCATTTGGCAGACCCTTTTATCAAAAGTGACCTCTATTGGATTAAAAGTACACAATTTTATAATTTCTTGCTTTCCATGGGAATCGAACCCATGACCTTCCCATTGCTAGTGACACGGTCTACTGTTTAAAAGGATAGTTTACCCAAAAATGAAAATTTGCTGTTAACTGCTATGGATTTCAGGTAATAATGTTATAAATAATTCTTGCACAGACCAATCGTTTCAGTTCATAAGACCTCAATATGTCATCAGGAGCCAGGGCTATTACTTTTGTTTTGCCTGTATATGTTTTTTTTTTATTCTCAAAGTGACGGTAGCCATTGCCTTGCATCTTATGAATCACCAGGACTTACTGTTCTACTGAAGAAAAAAGTCACCTACATCTCGGATGGCCTGAGAGTGAGTAAATTAAAAGCAAATTTTAATTTCTGCGTGAACTCTCTCTCAAATGGACCACTGACACTCTTATCTACAATCTCAATTAGGAGTGTCAATGGTCCATTTGAGAGATAGGTGGCGGTAATGCACTTATAAGTCTGCGATACGCTGTAAAGCAATGCTGTTGAGAACGTGCTCAGAAGGACGCGCCGCCGCTCAGGACAGTTCGAACAGTTCGGACATTGCGTGAATCAGAGGTAAAAAACGATATAAATACTGTTCAGTTTCTTGCACAAACTGCACAAACTGTGTCTTTACACATCAATGTATCGTCACGAGCCGCAGGGTTTAATTTGGTTTTGTTTATGTATGTTTCTTTTTACTCTCAAAGCCGTGATTCCCATTCACTTCCATTATAAGACTGACAGACTGCAACGGTTTGAGTTAAAAATCTTTGTTGTATGTGTACTGTGTATATTTATTATGTATATATAAAGACACGCACATGCATGAATATACTTCAGAAAAATAGGTTATGTTTAAATATTAAATATATTTATTTATAATATAAAGTATATGAATATAAATATAGACATGTAAATATTTTCAAAATATATACTGTATGTGTGTGTATTTTTATATACATAATAAATGTACACAGAACACACACATATATTATGCCAACAAAAACTTTTAGTTTGTATACGTATGTATGTATTAATCGTTTGACAGCACTAGGCTGTACACATTTTCTCATTTCTCCTTTGCTCACACACCTGTGTAATGGCCTCCATGCATGCCTCCATGATGGTTACACATGGCGTACAGGTCGTACAGGAAGGTCAGCGTGTGTCGGCTGGCTTCGGGCCGGTGATGGGCCTGTTGTTTCCAGCCGGGTGGCGGTCGGGCACAGTTGCTCCTCTTGACCATGTGGCGGCCCATATCGAGCCCAGTGAGGGGGAACTGCACCAGCGTGGAGAGCTTGTTACGGCACTCTCCCACCTGTCTGAAGCGCTTGAGGTGAAGGATGAGGATGTCTGGGAGAGTCCACAGGCTCATCTGCACCGTGCCCTGCTGCAGCTGCTTACAGTGAGGACACTTCCATGCATCGTCAGGGGCCAGCTAAGTAAACACGGATGAAAAATCAGGATATCTCACCTCAAGGAAATTTTATGCGAGTGCTTTTTGGTCTAAATAAATGGTCCTGACAAATTTGAATTCATCACATAGCCTTTTTTTTTAATAACTCGCATTAATTAAATGAAAGAAAATAAACAGAAAAGAGCTTCATTACTTTCAAAAAGAGAAAAAGTCTGAACTTTTTTAATGTTTTTTTTTTATATATATACTGTATATATAAATATTTAAATGATGATATTATCCAAATCTCATTTGCATTAAAACTACGATTCAAAAGAAGTCTCGCCAAGGCTGCAATTAGTCAAAAAATACTGTTATTTTTTTTTTTTAAAGTAACATATATAGAACAGAAATAACTGTTTTCTATTTGAATATATTTTAAAATTTAATTTATTCCTGTGGTGGCAAAGCTGAATTTTCAGCATCATTACTCCAGTCTTCAGTGTCACATGATCCTTCAGAAATCATTCTAATATGCTGCTTTGCTGCTCAAGAAACATTTCTGATTATTATCAATGTTGAAAACAGTTGTGCTGCTTAATATTTTTGTGGAAAATCAAGAAAACCCTACTGACCCCAAATTTTGGAGTAGTGTACGTATATTCAAACTTTCCATGTGACAGATTTGATGTCAACGACTTGCCAAACAAATGAGAGCAAATCAAATTGGAAAGCAATATTTTCAGTGAATAATGACCTAAATTTTGGTCTGTTTTTCACACAAAGCTATTGTAAGACTATAGAAGGCTTAAAATATAGTACACAATCTCTAAGCACCACTTTTATGGTGCTTTTAGTGAGCGTTTTTGTCCTTTTGGATCTTGACAGCCAGTGGTCACAAAATGTTTTAATGAAGGAGAACAGGACACATCACTTCCTCTTGTGTTCCACAGAAAGCAAGTTATACTGATTTAAAATCCTCAAGAATCATTTGCACGTACTTCTTACGTCTTGATTCCATTCCATTGTACTATAAACAGCACATTTTTTTCTGCCATTAAAAATATTTTCCTGTATTTGTCATCTTTCAAACAGAAACAACTGCTGCATGAGAGTGTCGCAGAATGAAAGGGGAATGTCACAATATTGTGTTTCAGAAAATCTCCAGGTCTCAGCTGTTATGCATGTTTATAATGAAAGTTGGTTGAAAAGCTTTACACGGTTATGTTTATGAACAAAGTGGGGGAGAACAATGCTTGTATTTCCTGATTTCCAAGAAATGTCAGAAATTTTTGTAAAATGCATAAGGAAAAGGCTATTAAGGCTAAAGCAATCTCTAAAGCATTTAGTAAAATAACTAAAGCAAATTAGTAAAATGATCTTTAGAATAAACTACAAATATGCTAATGGACTAGCTGCTAATGGCCTAGCTCAAGAGTTATTTTAAATTAATTATATTATTTATTATGATAAAAAATATGTTAAAATTAAATGCAAAAGTATTATTAAAATAATACAAATTATAATATTTTTGATAATCAAAAAATAATTTATAATAATATATCACAATTATAATATCTTATAATTAATTATAATAAAAATATAGTATCTTAATTTATGATAATAATAAATCTAATTAATTAACAAACATTTCAAACTGTACAAATCTTATAATATAATTTTTTTTTTTACATTTCTTATAACTGCACAGTTTGACTGGAATGTTTCACAATTCGTTGGCATTTTTTATAGAATATCATTACATAAAAGCAATATCGCCCTCGCACTCATGCCGCCTTTATGCTGGGTTGTGATTTCCTGTGGCATTCAGCTGCTAATATTCAGCACGATATGTGTTTTTGTGTGAGTTACTTGTTCTTCTTTGGTGTAGAGCTCAAAGCACTCATCCAGGGTGCAGCTTTGCTGTTGAACGTGGTGTTGTTGTTGAGCACGAACACTTTCCGAGTGTTTCACCACCTCCTCTTGGATGTTACCAAACAGACTGCACACAGACACACAGTAACACCAGGTCATTGGACCATCACGCTTGTTTTGTTGGCTTGACGTGCTTTAAAACCAAGTGCGAATAGAATGTTCTGTATTTTCACACGTACTCAAAAGGAAGTGAAAGATTGCATTACCAGTCTTTGATTCTGTGCTCCCACTCAACAATGAGCTTCACATGCGGTGGTCCACCTGAGCCACACAGCTTTAGAGCTCTGAGGAGATAAAGAGCAAGCCAAAGGGATTGTGTTAAAAGAGCTTCTCACACACACACAGTCGTGAATACAGCCATATTACTAATTAAACAGCTTTTAACCACAAAAATAATGACGAGGACATGAAATGTTATTTGAGAAGAAACTTCTTTTACCATTACAATTTTACCTGTTTATTATCTTAAATCCATTACAGTGTATAAAACAATTGTTCTGGCAACAAGACTGTTAAGGGATAGTTCATCCAAAAATGAAAATTTAGTCATTAATTGCTCACCCTCGTGTCATTCCAAACCCACGAATCTCGAAAAAGTGAAAGTGAAAAGAGGGTGTGCATTCAAAAGTGATTTCAATGCCCCGCATATTAGTAATGGCCCCCTGATGCCCACAGTTTATATACAGTATAGTTATCCAACAATATAATTGCGAAAGAAAGAATTGAAATATACCATTTCCTTTCCGAACACGGTATTCGGATTCAGGCACATCCCTAATGGGAAGTGTAAAATATTTTTGATTTATTAGGAAGTTAATAGTTAACAGGAAACACTGATTTCTTGAGTCAGAACTATCCATACTATAGACTGGTGTGTTTTTGTATCAGAATACTGGTGCGTTTGACATCCAGAGTGCACAGAAAATTTGATGAAAAATCGTGAATCGATATTTAATTGAATTGTGACCCCAAGAACCGATATGAATCGAATCGTGAGGTACCGAAAGATTCCTACCCTTAGTAATTAATGACAGAATGTTCATTTTTGGGTGAACTATCCCTTTAACACTGAAGTCCTCCAGTTTCATTTTACAGTAAATACAGTCGATAACTGAGGCACAAGAAAACACAGCGATGTGAAATGAGAGATGTTAAAGAAGCGTCGGCCTTAAATACCCGGATAAACGGTGTGTTAAAGTGCCCTAATTATGGATTTTTGGAAATGACCTTTCATGCAGTGTTTAACACATCTCTAAGTGAATGAAAACATCCTGCAAAGTTTTAAATCTGAAAGTGCACCGTGTATAAAGTTACTGCCTCTCAAAAGAAAGAGTCGACTATGAATCATTGAAACGAGTCGTTTTTAAAACAAATCCCAAGCCGGTTCATGTTGACGTCAACATGAAACATTAGCATATTGCCTGCCCATTTGTTGGTCTGAATGAAAATGCAAATTCATTCTTTGCCACTAGGTGCTGCTTTTGGAGCGGTAAAAATAGCAGTTTCCCCGGTAACGAATGTACACAAAGCAGCACTGCGCTCACAAACGCTGGAGGGGTTTCGCAAAAATGAATCGTTAAACGAATCGTTTCGGAGTCGTTGAGCAAATAAGGTAAAAATAAATGCATATTATAAGACAATGAAAGTGTTTTTTGACCTTGCATGCATGTCAACCTGTTGTTGGGGTGTTGGGGACTCCCAAAATCAAAATATGAACCTTTCATAACCCATAATAGGGGCACTTTAATGACACATATAATAACACAATAACACATCTTGGAATGTTGCGACTGACCAATCAGAATCAAGTATTTCAGAGAGGTGTGTAATGAGCTGCCTTAGCAAACACCACTGTTGTGAGATTATTAAGTACTATTATTGCTATTGAAATTTAACCTGTAACTGCAGCACATCTAGAATATGAACAAGAGAATCATGAAGAGAATTTCAGCAGGAAGATGTGCAAGATGACGTTAAAATGATTATGAGATTAATGTCATCTTTGAAGACACAGCTGACAATATTTGAAGGTTTGGAGGGCTGAGGACATCATTTAACCATGTGTGATTTAAAATGCTCCTCGAGGGCTGTAGAAATTTATGAGGGTGATAAACGTTGGCGGCAGCTCAGAGGTTTCTTTTGATGTTTAGGATAAAATTTTTTATCATAAATTCAGTAGCTTCCCTGATGCCTTTACCTGTAAATACAGTATGCATTATTAAGTGGTGCTATGAATAATGAATAAAGTTAAATTGAATGTTTGTTTAATGTGATATAAAAATATGAACTGTTTATTTTAGAGCCTCTTTTGTTAGAAAACATCTTCTGAACTGGATTGCTGTTACTGGCATCTCTGAGAAAGATGCAATTTATATTCTGTTCTGATCCATGTCTGTATGAACACACACACACACACACAAAATTACCTGTCCACAGCAGGGTGATAAAGCGGCCGTCCATCTTGAGGATTTAAGTAGCTATAAGCTGCAGATCCCCCAACAACACGAATCTTGAACAACACCCTGAAATTCTAATGAAAAAGATATAGAGACATTGGTAGAAAAAGGCCAAAGAGGTGTAAAACATTCAGCAGTTGCTTTTGATTCACGCCATGAAGGTGCAATTACACTAATGCTTCAATACTGGCATTGTGATATTGTCAACTAGTTATAAACATCAAGACAGAGAAGTGAAGTCAGATTATATGAAAACTGACATATTTAAAACTAAGCAACAATAAAATAATAATAGTGATGCTTACCTTAGCAAACACTACAAATAAAGCTAAATAATGGCTATATATGTGTTTGTGTATACTTTTGTTTTGTTATGCTCACCAAGAATTTTACTGCTAATAAAACAGTAATATTGTGAAATGTTTTTACAATTTAAAATTCTGTCTTCCACTTGAATATATGTTAAACTATAATTTATTCCTGTGATATTAAAGCTGAATTTTCAGCATCATTACTCCAGTCTTCAGTGTCACATGATCCTTCAGAAATAACAGATATTGGTGCTCAATAAACATTTTGTATAACTATCAATGTTGAAAACAGTCATGCTGTTTAATATTTTTGTGGAAACCATGAAACTTTGATGAACAAGCTGTTCATTTATTTGAAATCTTTTGTCTGAATGAATGAATATCTGTTCGCTGACCACCTGTAGTACCTTCATGGACCCACAGGGGTCCACAGACGCCTACTGAAAGGCCCTGGATGTGCACTGACACTGTTTTATTCTGGCTGGTGTGTCTGTAAACATCCAGCAGGGGGAACCAATCAACTGCGGAAAAGCAACAGGAATGACCACAAGAATGCAAGAGGAAGGAGGAAAATGTTTTAGAGGAAGTGATGGAATCTTGTGAGAGACTTTACTTTGAAACCTTAAAAGCTTGAATTGTGATGGTTTTAGTGGTGTGGGCTGTTGAAAGTTTGCACATGTTTTGTATTTTCTTGCATCTACAGCTCAGATCAGCTAAATGAGTATAGGCAGTCGATCTTACATGTGCCTGTGATCCATTGATCATTAGATAGTAGAGTTTACTGAGGATGCTCTGCTGTAGCTGGTCCCACGACACTGACCTGTCCTCTCTCATCAGAAATGGAGGGCCGAATCTGCAGGTGAACAGACATCAGATTAGTGTGTGTTTATACAGTCAAACAGATAACATAGTAACACATTCATCATCTTCACAAGATATGAATGACAATATTTTAGTTAACATGCTCATTTTAAATATGTTTGTCTAAAAGATACACTGGTAGAAACAAAGTTGAAACATATTTCTTTAGGATGGCTTTTTTATGATGATTTATTTATTATATATATATATATATTTTTTTTTTTTTTTTTGCATGTTTGTATTGCATTGTGTTTCAGCATTTATATTAAGCACCTTGAGAGGTCCTTTTAAAGGTGCTATCTAAAATAAACTTTATTATTATTTAAATACATGCATGTGATACAGGGGAGACCGGGGCTAGTTGTCACTAGGTTTTTTGTTTTTTTGACAGCCAAATTTCTATATATGACCCTGGAACACAAAACCATTCTTATCATTCATCGCTGGGGTATATTTGTAGCAATAGCCAACAAAACATTGTATGGGTCAAAGTAATTGATTTTTCTTTTATGCCAAAAAATCATTAGGATATTAAAGGTGCTGTATGTAAGTTTTTGACTCTACTAAAGCATAAAAATACCATAATATGTTTGCAGGTATTTAAGAAACATGCTAAGTTTAACATACTTGTTTATCTGAAAAACAATGCTACAGTCAGTTAGACTGTAGTAGACTGTAGACTCCTTTGAAAATGTGTGTTCCGGGCCGGAATGTCGAGCTCTGTTTTGGTTTGTGAAACCCGCCCACTGCCAGTTTACCCAATTGTATTTCGGCACGCCGGGTTGCCAGTTGGCGGAAAACACAGCGTATTTCATTTCATTCATCGTCAAGTGCGCTCGTTCCTGTTGGTGTCGACAATCTGGCAACCTGCGTGTGCGTCAAGTCTGAAGAGGAGGGGCCGGGTGACAAAAACCCTCTCCAATATTTAGAATTTGGGACTGCAATACCTAGTTCAACCACTCGGTGTCAATCCTACATACAGCACCTTTAAATATTTTGTGAATTTCCTACCGTAAATATATAAAAACTTATTTTTGATTAGTAATATGCATTGATAAGAACTTAATTTGGACAACTTTAAAGACGATTTTCTCAATATTTAGATTTTTTTGCACCCTCAGATTCCAGATTTTCAAAAAGTTGAACCCTTTTATATTTTAATTTTGAATTAAAGTTTGTTATTTAAATCAAGTTTTTGTTTTTCAAAATGTCTATACAGTTTTTTATTCATTTTAATTTAATTTTTTTAGTACATCAAGTTAAACTAAATACAAATCAGATATGTTGCCTGAAATAGTGTTTTTTAATTTCGTTTCAGTTAACATTCATTCATTCTTTCATTTTATTTTATTTTAGCATTTCCGTTTTAGTTAACTATAATAACCTTTAACCTCAACCAATGTTAAAACAAGCTAAAGTTCAGCTAAATGTTTCATTGTCCGTCCCACATTAAAATATTTAAAATACATAAACAGCTTTGCAATGCTAGCATCAAAGTATGCAGATACATGTAATAGAAGTCACATTATCATTGACAAGATTTAAAAAAACAACAATCAGTTTTATATAATATGTAACAGGGGCTCTTGCACAATCTCTATCTTCCTCGGCCTAAAATGGTTAAAGATACACTACTGCAGAGATGTTAGTCACTACCTGAAATCACATGAAATTTCTATGTAAACATTAGGTCACATTTTTATGTGCATGACTGTCAGTTAAATTACTGCCTGTGTTTGGACACAGTGTCCCAGTTATGTCCCAGTGTCCTCAGCAGTGCCCTTAAAATCCACCCCACCCTTTTTAGTGTACTGTGTTTTTTTGCAGCAGGAGGTTAGTGATTAAGTTTCTAGCCAGATTTCTGCTACAAGACCCGTACAGAATGAATACAGGAGACAAAACAAACAAAAGTGAGCTGAGGGAAAGCTAGCCTTTCAGAAAGTGATAAACACGTAATTGTTTTGGAGTTTCGCCTCAGCCAAAAGCAACGGAGTTTTCCCTGACAGGAGGCAGAGACAGAACTGAGATCTGAACAAACATGCTTTGATGCTGTTAACGTCACAGCTCGCCCCGGGCAACAACGCAAGGTTTTCACCAAATTATAAAGCAATAAAGTGTCTGTCTGTCCGTCTATCTAACTATCCGTCCACTATGCTTGACGCCACACAGTTTAAACGCATTCTGGACATTAGATAGAAATGATCCTAAAACAGCATTTGGAAACAATTTCACTTCAATAAGGCGGTGTTTTGAGTTTTCAGTTTTGAGAGGTCAAATTCACCCTTGAGAGCAAATTAATGGTTCTTTTTTCAAATCTATCACTATTTGCTATTATTGCATTATGGTAATTGTTAGTAAATTACTGCATTACATATAGGCAAGATTTTAATAGCCCAAAACAATGACTAAATAGCTAATTTGCTCTTGGTGAACATTATTTAACCCCTTTTGGCCTAAGTTAAGTCAGAAATGGAAGTAGGGGAGTAAGTTTTCACATATCAAATAAACATTATAAAGACAAATGTTTTTTATATATTCTTTGGAATAACATACACTGAAAAAGCATGCACAATAAAACCAGGAAAATTTATTCAATCAGTTTAATAGGATACATTTAGATTTTATGTTGACTTTAAAGATAGACATGCTGAAATTGCTACTATAAGCCTACAACCAGGAACTAGCAGCAAACTAAACCAGTGTGGACACAATTGAGAAACACTTCGTTGACTTTCTGAACTTTTCCATTATGTTTGATGTTGCACACTCTGAACATCAAAAGCTGTTCTCCTGCAATATACCTGCTCCTGTGATGATCTTAAAATGACAGCAAAGTCCTTTGGGTTTTTTTTTTAATGTGAACTACAGTGCTTCCTGTCTATACAAGTGCCCAACTGTAAATTGCATTGATAAGAAAACAGTTTCTTAATGATCTTAATACTTTCAAAAAGTTTTTTGTTGTTGAATTTTTAATATTATTTATATACTATTATATTTATTATTCTTTAATTTGTTTTATATTTATATTTATTATTTTTATATTTTCAGTTTTCATTTTAATTTTAGATGTAGTAATTATGTGCTTTTGTAATTTTTATTTGTGAATGTGGCCCTTAAATCTCCTTTGCCCCTCCCCCAATGTTTAAGATATGGTCACGCTCTTATTATGACATCTGCCTAGTCTCAGTGTAAGTTTCTGTATTCAAACATTCCCAGTTAATGAACTCATGACTACAGCTGTACGTCAAATCTAGTCCTTTCCACACTCTAACTCTGTCATGGGAATATCACTTTTATCATTATCTGGAGAAAATCAATCAAAATATCACTGCTTTCAAAATGACGTACTCACTCTAGCTCATCTGTAAGAGATAAACGTATGTTTTGAGCTTCACTCTCTCACCTTCTCTCTATCACTTCCATTAAAGTGAGAGAGAAACTCACATTACCAAAGGCCATGGAACAAAATTAGATTTCTGGAGGCATTCACACTTAAAGAGAGTATTGATCTCTGAGCGACTGTCACTGTCACTGTGTGTCTGCAGGATCGCTCTGACGTGACAAACGTCAAAGAATCTTTGAGAAGCTTTTAGAGCAAAAGAGAAAAGGTGAGGTAAAGTTGTCACGATTGATATTTGCCAGCTTTATGTGGCATAAAGTGGCATGTTTTGTCCTCTGAAGTCCACTTATGATGCTAGTTCAGACCATTTTCACCCTCTGTGACCCTTGGAATGAAACCTTTAAGACTTTTTTTGGTAAATAAACTTATGACTGGCTAATCTGCATATACTAGTGTTAATCTAGTCATTTTTTTTTCTCCTGTTTTGTCCTGTTTATTTAGCAAGGATGCATTAAAATGATCAAAAGTGACAGTACAGACTTTAATAATGCAATAAAAATGTATATTTCAAATAAATCCTGTTTTTTTTTTTTACTTTCTGTTCTTCAAAATATCCTGATTAAAAATGCATTATGGTTTCCACAAAAATATGAAGCAGCACAACTGTTTTCAACATTGATAATAATAATAAATGTTCTTGAACTTCAAATCAGCATATTAGAAGGATTTCTGAAGGATCATGTAACACTGAAGACTGGCCATCACAGGAACAAATTACATGTAAATACATATTCAAATAGAAAACAGTGATTTTACATTGTATTAACATTTCACAGTATTACTGTTTTTACTGTATTTTTGATAAAATAAATGCAGCATTGGTGAGCATAAGACACTTGTAAAAAAACATTTAAAAAATCTTACTGTCCCCAAACTTTTGAACAGTGTTGTTTAAATATAAATAAATATATTTTATAATATATCATTTTATTTGACTTTATAACATATTATAAAGATATTTTATTTATATAAAATATCAATATATTTTCCAATATTTTTACACTATGATGGGAAAAAAGAACAATGCAAGATACTGAACCATGTGTGAATATGTTTATGAAGCAGAAAATTGTAGAACGTTTTCAAATAACCCAGTCAGAGTTAATAAAGTCGGCAACAAACCCACTTAAATGCCGGTAAACTGAAATTTATACACAACCATAAATGTAATTATTAGGGCTGTAAGTTTAATGCATTAACTTAATTAATTAGTTATGAAAAAAAATTACGCGATTAAAATATTTTAACGCTGTTAAAGCGCTGGCCCCGCCCCCAGACCTGTACGTCATCTTACATTTCATACAGTTGACTTATGACAAATATGATGCAGGGCAACAACTCCATAAATGCAGTTATGCCCAAGATATTGGGGCAAAAATGCTCCTGTATGAGTTTTTGTCTCATATTTATATCATATGATAAGCGATATCACAAGAGCAGCGAGAACAATATCACACGAGTGCAAATGTGATTTTATACAACAGTTCAGTAAATAAGAAGTTAATATTGTGTTATAATTTAAACAATATTTTCTGTTTTTGCTCAGTTTTGCAACAATTATTACCTATAAAGCCACAGCAGAATTGCTGTGC